ATAGAGTGATGGGCCATAGCAGGGACTTTCTAGGCAGGGTGTGTTCTGCCCCAGCTTAGACTAGGCCAGTGGTCGGCAAACTGCGGCTCGCGAGCCACATGCGGCTCTTTGGCCCCGAGTGTGGCTCTTCCACAAAATACCGACTTCTGCGCATGGGCCACGAAGTTTTAATCACACTGTACATGCGCGCCCGCACGTGGTATTTTGTGGAAGAGCCACACTCAAGGGGCCAAAGAGCCGTGTGTGGCTCTCGAGCCGACCACTGGGAAGCAACAGGAGAGAGCCTGGGCAGGGCTGCTTGGGCTCACTGAGAAATAAAAGTACAGTAACAGAAGTGAGCCAAGGAGGAGGAAAGTCAGAGAAAAGGGGGCCTTGGAGACAGGGGCAGGGGTCAGCCTGCTGCCCAGCGCTCCCCTGGTTGCAAGTCTTGTGGGGCCCTCGGAGCTTAGGAGATGCATGCCTGTGGGGGCAGAAGAGGGGGCGGGAAAGGCTCAGGCTGCTCCCTGGAGGAGATGGAGCACAGGTCCTCTGTTTCCTTTTGGTGAGGGGTTTTAAAGGCTGGGAACTTGGGGGAAATTTCAATAGAATATTCCTCAGGTGTCCGGGCGTGTCCTTTCAGGGTCCTGGGCTCCACTGACTGTCAGTGCCAGGGCAGGGGTAATGCCAGTAAGTTGCCATTTGGTTTTGCTGCTTTTCTGAGCCTGGAGCTGAAATACAACTGAGGCCTCGATGACATGTCTAGGGAGGAAAGGTCAGGAGGTCCAAGCCTCATGAGCAGAGATATGCGAGGGGAGGAAAGGCCACCCTGCGGGGCAGGTCCAGCACCAGTTTTGTCCATTGCTAGGCACCGGGGCTTCCCGCCCTGGAGACCCTCTGTATGTGGCTGTAAATTGTTCAGCCGTCTGTCTCAGTTTCCTCATTCCACTTGCCGAGGAATTTTCCTGGCTTCTTACTATTCTGCCTCAGTCTTACTTTTTTAAGAATTGATTTCAGAGAGGAAGGGAGAGGGAGAGAGAAAAACATCAATGATGAGAAAGAATCATTGATTGGCTGCCTCCTATTAGGGATCGAGCCCACAACCAGGGCATGTGCCCTGACCAGGAATCGAACCGTGACCGCCTGGTTCAGCAGTAGATGCTCAACCACTGAACCACACTGGCCAGGCTTAATTTTGTCTTTTTATCAATGAACTATAATCAATCATTTAAAAATATTGTGTAATATTTTGTAATGGAGGAAGGAGTCCAGGCCGGCAAAAGTGCCGAGGGCCTGTAAAAAGAAGTGGCTCGGTTTGGATGGTGGTGCTACCAAGCCACTTGAGTAAGACCCATATCTAGGGTTAGCAGACCTGCCTCCCTCACACTCCCCCACAGCGGGTGTTCCATCCTGGTCTGTCGGAATCTAAAACCCATTCTCTTTTCAGCCTGGTCCTTCAGTTTTCAGGTCTGCACCTCCCCAGGGAGACCTCTGTTGGCCCTCCTGACTAGGTCCACTCCCCCCTTATATGTCCTTGTTGGAACTCAGCTGCCCTGTGGACTCATGGTGTGATGACTTTGAGCACAGGTTCTGAAAGCCGAGGTCTGGGTTTGAATCCCAGCTCTGCCAATTATCAGCTCTGCAGTTGGGCAGGTTGTTCATCTCTCTGACCCTCAGTTTCCCTGAAATAGAGTAATAAGAGTATCTACCTAACAGAGTTGTGATAGGTTAGATAATTGAATATTTTTCAAGCACTCAAAACTGTGCCTGGCACCGAAAAAGTGCCATCTAAATATTTATTAAACACATTTGAAGCCCCATCAGTGCAGAGGCTGGGCCTGGTTTTGCTCTCTCTGGTATCTCCAGGCCTTGCTCATAGTAGGCATTCAAATGTTGGAATGAACGAATAAATGAGTGTACTCTGGTCCTCCTTCATTTGTCTGTATGTTTCTTTCTGCTGGAAGTCATTCACCCCTTTAGTGTGAAGTATCCTGCCCCTTTCCTAGAGCACCATGGGAGAAAATGATTCGCCTTCCTGGGGAAGGAGCATAAAGCCTTAGCGATCCAGTGAGCCTTAGCGATCAGGTGGGGAGTTTTATCAGGAGTGGAGGGGCAGGCTTTACTCTCAGGACCTGTAACTGAGCCACATCCTCTGCGCCATGGAGTGAAGCCCTAAGCATTGTGCCCTTTACGTTTTTCAAGGAGACATTTCCTCCCCAATTCAGAGGGCGAGACCCTTGGGCAGGCAGCAGCTGTCAGACCCAGCAGGCAGGCCTCACCAGCAGGCCCCCCAGGGCAGAGGAGATGAAAGGCCTCGCCAGCCCAAGGCTTTCCCAGAGGAAACCCTGCCCACAGACCTGCAGGAAGCCACATTCACGGGAGGCCAGCCCACTAAGCTTGGGATCAAGCCCAGGTCACCAGAGCTCAGATAAATGGGGCCTCTGCTACTGGGAACATGTAGTTCTGAGGCCTGGCAGGAACCTGGGAGGAGCTGCTGGCCCTGAAGTTTGGCCCTGAAATCGTGCTGGGCCCCAGGCTGGGGCTGCTCATTCGGCCCCTGCTGGGAACCCAGGCTGGCTGTCTGACCCGATCCCACTGGTCCCTGATCAGAGGAAAGTGGCTGCGTTCCCCGGTAAATTGGTAAATTTGTTCCGGGGAGTCCTGGGGTGTTAATATCTCCTCTCAGAGCTTTTTCATTTTCCACATAAAACCTGTAGTGCTGCCGTGTTCCTGGAGAAGTCACCCTTGCTGTCCTCAGAACTTGGAAGGCTCATTTTTATAAGTTAATGTTTGCAAGAAATTAACTGATGGGTCACTGCTTGGCACCTGGGTCCGTGTGGTCCAAATACTGCTGCAGAACTGACATCTCAATTGAAGAACATTTATTGGGCACCTACTGTATTCCACGCCCTGTGCCATGCACTGAGGAAAGCCAGTGCATCTAGTCAGTGATTACAAGTGTTGATGCGGGCCAGGCCCTGTGGAAGGCACAGCGGTGCAGGCAATAAGGCACAGATACTTGACCTTGTAGAGCCAACCCCCCACTCCGGTGTGCATGAGCTTCCTACTGCCACTGTAACACATGACCACACACTAGTGCCCAGTGAAAGAACTGAGAGGCAGCGGCCGAAGAGGATGTCCCAGTATCGCAGACAGAAGCTGAGCGGGGACCTGGCCCAGGTGCATCTAAGTCTGGAGCTTGGGTCCCTTCCACTTCCCCGGGTGGCGTGTCATGGTGGTCAGACGGGGCTGGGGTTGAGCCCCAACTCTGCTATCTGCCTGACCTCAGGCAAGTATTAGATCGCTGCCTCCCATCTGTGACTCGGGCATCAAAACAGTACCTGTCTTGGGGTTGCTGTGAACAGGGGATGGAATACAAGGCTTGTGAAATATTGATCCCTGTATAGAACACACACTCGCTGACATGACGGCACACTGGGGATGTATGTGGAACGCTTCACACGCAGTTTCACTGAATTCTCCCAAGAAACACGCGGTCACTGTTCACATGCCCACATCGGAGAGGAGGACACCCGGCTTCAAGGGCCTGAGTCATCAGCCAGCCCCCGTTCAGCAATGTCTTCCAAAGAAGCTTCTCTGGGCAGACAGAGTTTGTCAGCCCAGCTCAAAATTTGGATGAGGTAGCAGCTGGAATCCCCACCCGTCCTACTGGGCTGCTTTCTCTGTGTGCCCGCCCCCACCCGCCCCAGCCTCTGGCCTCGGAGCCAGCACACCACCTCTGGGAGAGACCGCCCCAGACGGCAAGGCAAGGAAGTGCTCATATTCCAGAGTGACAGCGCCACTCCCAGCCACGTCTCCAAGCAAGTCGGAGGGCGGGGAGGGGGGGGAGGGGGGAATGTGCCTCCTCCTGCTGCTGGCTAGCTGACCACTGCCATCTGAACTGCCTGGTTGGAGTCTCTGGGGCCAGATGTTACAGGGCAAGCTAAAAATAACCAGGCGGCGGGCCACCCCTGGGGGGTGGGGCTGGGGGTGGGGGCATGTGCTGGGCGTGGACAAATGATCGGAGGGGGAGCTAAGAGAGTCTGGCAGACCATGCACACTTCTGCTCCCCATTCAACGGACCCACCTGGCAAGGGGGCCCTCTTCTCTGAACATCTGGGAAGAAACCCCTCCACCAGCTGCAGGATGGGCAGCAGCAGAAGGAAGGTCATCTGGGTCCTGTGCTCATTGCTGCTGCTCCTTGAAGCCAGTTCTGCCAAGAACATTTGGAAACGGGCATTGCATGCGAGGCTGGCTGAGAAACCCCACGTAAGTGCCTGGATGGGGAGACTGGGAGGAGATGGGCCATCCCCAGACGCTGTTGGTTCTGTAAGCGCTCCCCCAAACACAGGCGGGGCAGGTGTCTTTCTTCATCAAAGTCGGGCGGTGGGCAGATGGAACTCACGTCTTCAAAAGGCTCCTTGCCTGGCAGCAAAGACGCAAAGAGAACATCAAAAGTGTGCAAGGGGCCTGTGATGTGCTTTTGCCTAATGAGTATACTTTCTCCTGACAAGCAGCACCGGGGTCCAAGGACTTAAAGCTGAGCGCTGTCTCTCAGCAATCAATAACCAAAGTTGTATGCAATGTACACATGCGTTCATGCAGTTATTCACTCATTCAGTAAACGTTTACTGGAAACTGCTCTGGGCCAGGCACTGTGGGGGGTCCAGTGGGTACAAGGCGGCAATACCAGCTCCCACCCTTCAGGGCAGCATAGGCAAGTGGGGGAGGCAGTCAGGTGACAGGTGGTGGCAGAACAAAGGGATGGCATGGCATAACAAGTGACAAGAAGCATGTGCCCTGGGGCCAGGTGTCTGGGTTTGAACTCAGGCTCTGCTGCGCACCAGCTGTGTGACGTCAGGCAAATTGTTTGGCCTCTCTGAGCACCAATGATCTCATCTGCTCATTTGAAAAAGACAGAATGATACGTTTCTTTCAACAAACCTGTTTGCTCACCACTGTTTACCAGGCACTGTCCTTGGCTGTGGGGATACAGACATCAGATCCCTGTCTTCAGGAATCCACGTTAGGAGAGGCAGAGAATAAGTGAGAAATAAAAGGAAAACATAGTGAGTTTGGTGACAAGTGCCGAGGGGAGATACAAAGCAGGAGGGGGACTAGGAGAGAGGGGGGGAGGGGGGAGGAAGGTGCGGTTTTAGATCCTCCCCACCCTGAAGCACAGAAGCATAGAAACGTCAAGGAGATAACACCAGCATATGTGTGAGCATCAAATAACTCAATATGCATAAAGTGCTTATGTAGCACATAGCGAGTGGTCAGTGCATGTGGGTGACATTTAATTAAATAATGGTGAAATCAGTTGATGCTTGCCTTCCCAGGTGGAATATAGGTTCCTCAGGGTACAGTCTAATTCTGTCTCATTTAGTATAGTTCCTGATGCCTTGCCAGGTGGCTGTCATTAAGTTGGTGCCCAATACATTCTTGTGGGAGATTATGGGCAAATGCAACGGAAGCACAGGAGAACTTATGCAGCTCTGCCTCAGGAGAGTCAGGGAGAATTTTCCAGGGTTGAGGGCATTCAGTCTGGGGCTTTGAAGGATGAATAGGAGTTTGCCAGGTAGAGACATGGGAGAAAGGCTGTTTAATGAACCTAGGTACTATGGGGTGTACTAAACTATATTGAGGCTAATCTCAGCCTCCAGGGCTTACATTCTATAGGCCATGCAGGAGGTCACTGGGAGTGAAAAAAAGTAGTAGTGGCTGAAATGATGGTAGGTGTTTGGAAGAAGAAAAGCTAGTGTGAGATGGTATAGTCACAGAAGGCTTCCTGGAGGAGGTGAGACCCTGGCCACATCTTGAAGAATTATTAAGAATTTGAAGAGCCTGGCTGGTGTGGCTCAATGGTTGAGCATTGACCTATGAACCAGGAGGTCATGATTCGATTCCTGGTCAGGCACGTGCCCAAGTTGCGAGCTCAATTCCCAATGTGGAGCATGCAGGAGGCAGCCAATCAATGATTCTCTCTCATCAATGATGTTTCTATCTCTCCCTTTCTCCAGTCCTCTCTGAAATCAATAAAAATATATTTCTTTAAAAAAGAATTTGGAGAAAGGAAAAACAAAAAAGTCGAGAAAGGCCATTCCTGGAAGAAGAGTCAATGTGGGCTGAGGGTTGGGGGCAGACCTGGTGTCTCAGAGCCCTGAGGGGGAGTCCTTCCTATGGGAGAGGGCTGTGTGTGGAAGGAGGGAGAGGGACCCTCGGGTTTCACGGCTCCATGCTCTTTGCTGGCCTAAAGGATGATTGCATCCTCCTAGGTATTAGCACTTGGTACCACAGAGAGATTTCTGATGCATCACCTGGTCTTAGCTCCACCTAGTTGAGGGGTGTCCTAGGAGCAGACATCTCACGGGGAGGAATGGCGAGTCTGGGGGTGTTGAGGATGATGTACTCAGGGGATGGGGTAGCCTCTTTAAAAACACAGGCCTGGCCCTGGCCAGATGGTTCAGTTGGCTGGAGCATCATCCTGTACACCAAAAGGTTGCGGGTTCGATTCCCAATCAGGGCACCTAGGCTGCGGGTTTGATCCCTGGTTGGGGTGTATACGAGAGGCAACCAATTGATGTTTCTCTCTTACATCGACTCTCTCTCTCTCTCTCTCTCCCCTCCCTTTCTGTCTCTCTAAAAATCAATTTAAAAAACCCCCACACAGGCCTGGGTGGGCCTCAGAAACTGAGTCAGTTGCTTCTAGTCATCATTTGTCAGGAGCAAGCACTGAAGTGTGCCCCTCGCTGGGCTGGAAGGCTCCCTGGTGAGCACCAGCACCAGCACCAGCACCAGGTGAGCACCAGCACCCTCCCTGGCGCCCAGTGCTGAGGCAGGAGAGGTTAGAACAAGAACTGCCTCAGAGCAAGCCCCTGGGGAACGACAGCCTGTTGACTTGTGGCTCAGAGGATAGGGAGGCTGGAAAGGGTCCAGGCCCAGGAATTCATCTCAGCAGCATCTCTAACAAGCTGTGCAGCCTTGGGCTACTCACTGCCCCTCTCTGAGCCTCAGGCTGTTGCCTGGGAAATGAAGGCAGAGGACCAGATGGCTTCCAGGCCCCTTTTCATTCTGATTCTAACTCCCAAGCAAATGTTCATTAAGGAAGTTAAAGGTCCTAGGAAGCAGACCCCACACACTCAGAGACAGGACTTTCCCATGTGGCCCCCCGCTGCTCCCACCCCAAGCTCAGTCAGACCTTCAGCCCTGAGGGCAAGTCAAGGTGGGGCAAGGCCAGGGTCCAGCAGCATGCTGAAGCCAGGTTGGACCCACTTGGAGAGTCAAACAGAGCCCTTACTAAAGATTAAATCATGTGATTTAAATTGTAAAAAGGAAGGAAGCCCTCATTAGAAATGGATCACTTCCTACGTATTCCACTACCTCTCACTACTCCCTCTGCTCTCAAGATTGCTTATGTCGATGGTATCCGTATGGCGGAAACAGTAGATATTGAGGAACTATTGCTTCTCCTCATTCAGCACCCTCCGTAGGTGGCTAGAAACCTGCCTCGCTGGAGTCTCAGCCCATGGACACCAGCAAAGGCTGCACCTGAGAGCTGGTTGTTGACGCTGACCAACCGTCGGCCGTCTGCCCCCTGCCGCAGGCAGGCACCCTCTCTCACCTTCTAAAGCCCTGTCCCTCGGCAGAGTGGGCAACGGGCCCGAGGAATTTCCTGAACACTGTGTACGTTACAGCCCGGGACTCAGTGCCAGAAGGGACGGCATGCCTTCTATTCCCACAGGACCCCTCGGGAGGCCGGTCAGGAGGAGGCTTCTCCTCGCTGGGCCTCAGTTCCCTCCTCTGCAGCACTGGAGCGCCTGCTGTGCAGTCCAACGAGAAGACGACGGAGAGCCTTGAGCTCCGTGCCTGGCAACGAGCCACCCTTTCCACATCTGCACTATTCAAAACAAAACAAAAACGCAGAACCAAATGTTTATGAGGCTAGATAAGACAGTGGAATGTTTGTAAGTAGCCTAGTGGCCTTTTCTGGGAGCTCGGGGTCAGTCGTGGGGAGCTGGTGTTTGGGGCTTCTTTCCTGGCATGTAATGAACCTCATAAGAACAGTTCTTTCCTGACCATTTCCTATGCGTCAGGCCAAGCACTGGCCATGCATTAACTTGCAGGATTCTCTCAATGCATCTACCAGGTGGGGCCCATTGCCCCTGCCATGTCAGCCTGCGGACCCGCTGGTCCGATGATCCCAGCATGTGGCTGTGCTGTGGGTCTGTTTTGCCCCTAAGCTCCCATCCAGGGCAGTGGCAAGTAGCTGTGCAGTGCGCACCCTGCCCAGTGGAGGGGATCGCGAGGGGCTGCAGCAGCCAGGAGCAAGGGGGACCGCTTTGTTATGCATCCTGCTCCCAGGGCGCCCTTTGCGCTTGTCCACCCGGAGCTGCAAAGCGGTTTAGGGTGGGTGGTCACGTCCTAGGCGGGCGTCTTCCCTGAACTGGGGCTGTCGATTGCCTTTTTGCATCCACAATAACAGCCTTTGGTATTGAGCACAAAAGCCCTGCAGGACCTGGCAGCCCGCACGTGTCCCTCAGGCTCCCCGAGCTGGTCCTTCTCTCCCTTGTGACTCGGTTTAGTTTTCATGCACCGCTTTGGCAGATGACCAAGAAAAGCAATTAGTTTGCTTCATCTGTGATGTTTTGCTTGGTGTTTGACACTTGTCCTGGAGCCGAGGCACATGAAGGCAAGAACAGCATCATCGGGTTCAGCTCAGCTCTCCCTGTTCCCAGCCCCGTGCCTGGCACGTCGTTGGCCTGGGAACTATGACGTTACCATTAAAGGAATGAATAAATTACGTGAAAACCTTCCAGAACAGGATAGAAGGGATGGAAAGTTCTAAAAGACGTCCAGGTGCACAGCAGGGCTCAGCGGGCACCAAAGGGATTGGTCGAGTTTGCAGCCTTGCTCTCAGCTGCATAGCTGGGCTTGTCCCTGGTGTGAGGTTAGTTTTGGGTCACCTCTCCCAGGAAGTCCCTGTAGCCGTGCACCAAACCCTGCTCTCAGAGCCCAGTGCTGAGGTCCCAGGGCATCCAGAAATGGCATTCGCCAGTGCACACAGAACCCTATGTCCTCTGTTCTAGGGAGAGGCATATTTTTAGATCTTTGACGTCCAAATTCCTAAGGAAGAGTGAATAATGCTTAGAGGAACATTGGCTTTCTTCCTGTACCACACAAACGAGTCCTGGGGTGCACTTTTATTGGCCCGGACCGTTAAGTTGCCGGAACATTCCAAAGAAAGGGAAGCTCTTGCGAATGGAATGGAT